TCTCCCTACCTACTATATCTCTCTCTCTCTCTCTCTCTCTCTCTCTCTCTCTCTCTCCCTCCCTCCCTCCCTCCCTCTCTCCTTCCCTCTATCTACTTACGTACTTTTTTAAAAATTGGCCTCTTCAAAACTTTGGTGCATCTTTTACTCTGAAAAATACAGTAGTCAAACCTACAATAACCACAGGATCTATCTGGTCACCCCCTTCCAATCAGAATCAGAATAGAGCTGGAAGGGACCTTGGAGATTTTCTAGTCCAGCCCCCTGCTTAAGCAGGAGATCTGACCTATACCATTTCAGACAATCTCAGCAGGCAAGGCAAGACTTGCTAATTGATTGCTGTGCCGATTAGCCTACAAGTGCTTCCCTTTTCCTTTTAGAGATTACAGGAAGTCCTCAACTTACAACCATTAATGTAACGAGGGTTCAAAGTTACAACAATGCTGAAAAAAGTGACTTACAACCAGTGGTGGGATTCAAATAATTTAACTATCGGTTTTCTGCCCTAATGACCAGCTGGGTAGGCGTGGCTCTGTGGCCATGTGACTGTGTGGGCGTGGCCAACTCAACATCACTCAGCACTTCACCTTAGCTGTTACAATGTAATAAGAGTTAACCGGAGAGGCATCTTCTGTAAACAGGGCAATAAAGATTAGGCTAGAAACAACACCAGAATGTTTCCTCCCTGCCTTTCTTACAGGATTAGCCCTGTAAAGTGGAAAAAAACCAAAATAAGATTTCTTCCAACAACCGCTTCTCCTGAATAGTGTTTCCCCAAATATAAAACAGGACCTTATTTTCTTTTGATCCCCGAAATAAGCTTGGCCTTATTTTTGAGGTGCAAGAGGCGGCAATCATAGTCACCTCCCGGCTGCTGCAGTGTTGCAATATTTTCGGGGAGGTTTTATTTTCAGGGGAGGGCTTATTTTAGCACATGCGCTCAAAAGCTCGATTGGGCTTATTATCCAAGGAAGTCTTACTTTCAGAGAAACAGGATAGGTTCAAACTGGCTGAATCCCACCACTGTTTACAACCAATCCTCATGCTTACAACCACTATCGCATTCCTATGGAGAAGCAACATATGATCACGACTTGGATGCTTGGCAACCATCATGAATTTATGTTTGTTGCAGCATCCTGTGGTCACGTGATCACCATTTGAACTTTTCCAGGTGGCCTCCAACCAGCAGAGGCAATGGGGAAGCCGGCAGGAAAGGTCACCAGTTGTGATTCACTTAACAATCACAGTGATTCACTTAACATTCAAGGGAAAAAAGGTAAAAATTAGCTCAGATCACTCGATGACTCGCTTAACAACCGTACCACTTAATAACAAATTGTCCAGTCCCTATTATGGTCATAAACCAAGGACTAGCAGTATTCCCTTCTCATTATACTCCCATCTGTTTCTTTCCTTTACATCCCGAGGTATTTCCAGACATGGATGCTTTCATATACACACACCCTCATTTTCTCTTCTACCAGCTAGAAAATCACTTACCAAGTTGACAAAGTCTTGGTAACAAATCTTCCCATCCGAATTGTTGTCTGCCAAGGCCAAAAGCACTTCCAGTTTATGCGGATCCAGTTCAGAGCTATGTCTTTGGAGGAGGTTCCGAAATTTCTCTGTGCTGATATAACCCGTGTTCTCAGGATCCAGCTGGATACAGAAACAGATAAAGAAAGGGAATGATGCATTCATCAAAGTGAATGGCAGGAACAGGCAATTACAGGTACTCCCCGACTTACAACAGTTCATTCAGTGACTGTTCAATAGCAATGACAATAGCACTCAGACTTATATACTGCTTTACTCGCGTGCGGCACTCCTGAGCTCTGTTTTCACTGGAAGAGGGTTGCAGGAGGCTGTGGCAGCCGAAAATGGAGCTCGGGAGCCTGTTTTCGCTGACAGAGCACTCAGGCCATCACAGGCGCCCCTGACAGGAATGACGGCAAGCTGGACATGCCAACCATGGACACCCCCACCCCGAGGTCAAATACAACACTGATGAGGCCCTCAATGAAATCGACTTGAACACCTCTGTTGCAAGATATTCAAGGATGTTTCCTTGGAAATGAACTGCTCTAAAGACTATTTCTAAAAAAGCTTGAGAAACTCAGCCTTATATCCACTGAAATGACAAATGTTAACATATTATCTATTATAATTCCAGTGATTTTAAGTGCTAGTGACCCTGAGAAAAGACAAAAGGTAAAAGTTCCCCTCGCACATATGTGCTATTCGTTCCAGACTCTAGGTGGCAGTGCTCATCTCCATTTCAAAGCCGAAGAGCCAGTGCTGCCCAAAGACCTCTCCGTGGTTATGTGGCTGGCATGACTAAACATCAAAGGCACAGGGAACGTTGTTACCTTCCCACCAAATGTGGTCCCTATTTTTCTACTTGCATTTTTACATGCTTTTGAACTGCTAGTTGGGACAAGTAACAGGAGCTCACTCCAATACGCGGCACTAGGGATTCAAACCGCTGAACTGCCAACCTTCTGATTGACAACTTCAGCATCTTAGCCACTGAGCCACCATGTCCCTTCAGAGAAAAGAATAAGAATAGGTAAAATGGTGACTTCTTATGAAAATAATGTTTAATGTGTTGCTCTTTTGTAGTTAAAAATCCTTCAAACAGAACAAGTTTCTACCTTACAAAGATTGCATTTAAGATTCACTGGGTGCCAAAGACGGATAATACAGTATTACCCTTGTAAGTACTGTAGTTTTATTTCTGCTACACAGAAGAGTGATTAATGGAGAGATAAAATATGCTGTTTTACAATCAATGGTTTTGTGATCACAAAAGGAGGAAGCTAAGACTGGCATCAGACGGAAGGTATTTTGCCTTTAAAAAATGAAATCCCCATGGAAGCTCGCAGCAATTTACAGTAAATCCAATGCAACTTCATCTTGGCTGGGTCCTCGTCTGACTGCAGGCTGGTCTTTGATCTTCTCCACTTGGCCTGCCGGCTTCTGGTTGCCAATAATAATAATGATATCAAGCTTGTCACTTGAGTTGAAAGGCGGAAGAAAAGAGGTGGAGATTCATGAGAAAAGTTCAGCCCAGGAGGGCATTTTTCCATGGAAACATTTTGTCTGTGGAAAAGGCAGCTTGGTAAAAGCAACAAAACCCCTTTTGAAGACGCTGGCTCTTGCTGACTGCAAACAAAGCTCCCACCTTTGGCTGGGATTGATTGGCTTGGCAAAGAGGCAGGGAAGTGGGGGCAGGAGGCAAAAGGAGCAGCTTGCCAGCAGCTAAATTGGGCAGTGTTTTTTCTCCTTCTTCTTTTCAATCTTGAAGTAGAAAAGAAACCTACAGTAACACAGTTACCCAAGTTAGCTGAGGCAGATGGCTCGGCCAGGGGAGCATATGGATTTCATTGCTGCTGCTTCAAACAGGGTACCTCAAATCAGTCAGGAATGGAATTTGTGGCCTGATCTTAAGGAAGAGGGCAGATGTGGAAGTAGGCCGCATCCCAGAAAGGAGGAAACCTAGATGCAAGGGTATCCCAATTTCCAAAGGCATCGTGTCAGGGGATTCTGAACATCCAAGGAACGAGGGAAGACCCTAAAGGTCAAGGTTCCCCTCACACATATGTGCTAGTCGTTCCCGACTCTAGGGGACGCTGCTCATCTCCGTTTCAAAGTCGAAGAGCCAGCGCTGTCCGAAGACATCTCCGTGGTCATGACTAAATGCCAAAGGCTGTTACCTTCCCACCTAAGATGGTTCCTATTTTTCTACTGGTATTTTTATGTGCTTTCGAACTGCTAGGTTGGCAGAAGCTGGGACAAATAACAGGAGCTCACTCCGTTATGCAGCGCTAGGATTCGAACTGCCAAACTGCTGACCTTTCTGATTGGCGAGCTCAGCGTCTTAGCCACTGAGCCACCTTGGGAAGACTCTAACCCCTTGTAATATCTGTTGCCATGACCAACTTGCCACGGCCAACTCACTGCAGGCCAAATTGCCGTGGAACAAGAGTTACACTAGTGTCAAAGAACTAGTGCAATAGAATCATTAAAAGAAAGGATGCCTAAGAGGGACAAAATGAAATGCAAATGACAAAAATTAAAATAACTTTTTAATTATTTTAAATGATGAAATTGAATTGTTGAATCGTCCCACAGCGAATTGTCCCTGTGGTGAGTTAGCCATGGTGAATTGGCTGTGGCAAATTGGTTGTGATGAGTTGCCTGCGGCGAGTTGTCCCATTCCATGTGCAAGTGGTTTCCAGAACCTGGAGAGAATCTTAGGCCACTCTTACTTTGTGCCTCACCTAAGTGAGGATCCTTGGTCACTCGCCCCTGCAGGGTTTGGCTGACCGTCCCGGCCTCTGTTCTTCATGCCAAAAGCTTTTTGAAAAGATGACTGGAGTGTCAGAAGCCATCTTTTACATTGGGCCTGCCACAATTTCTACCATGGGAAAACGGGAGCGGGGATTATAGGGAGTATGGGTGAGATATAGTCAAAATAACATTCTTTTGTCAGGGAGTCAAGGACACCTTGCCCTGCA